AATATGAAAATATGAGACTATACAGTGGTGAGGAATAAGTATTACAGAATTTAGTGTGTAATTGGACAGGAGAGGATCAGACTTCTGGTTTCCAATTTCGTATGTAAGAAGCTTGAAAGTCACCTTGCCACTCTGTCCTCACAATATGTAAAACCTGAGCAGATGGAATAATTAACCACCCTTCTATTCGTAGGAGAGGCGAAGACATAGGATAAACTTTTATCACCAGAATTGGAAAGATAGATAAATACTGAGAGTGTTAGCTTTCTGAAACAGATATTTAGGAATGCAAATTGCCTCAACTGTAATTGATGAATTGATGGAGGTTCATTGAAGACAAAACATGAGTGTTAAAAAGTCTGGTGGTTGTCCAGTCATCTTTCACATATTTGTGAGCTTTACCTCCAGGAGTTTGGCTAGGTTCTTACAGTAAGTATTCGATATCCTTTTGCATTTTCATTAGAAAGGGAAAAAGAATCATTCTGTAGCATGTTAGAGCACCTTGTTCTTAATAAGATATCCATCCCCTCAGGAAACAATTATTGATGTGGAAATCTAGGGAATACCCAGCTCTAGCCCTCTATATGGGAGAAGGCAAATACTGAACACCAGGCTACTTTGAACCGTCCTGCCTCATGTAAGGGGAGAAAAACAAACTCAGAAAACATATGGGTTAATAGACCAGAGGCATGAGCTCAGTAAAAGACTGAGACCTAATCATAGGATGTTTTTTATCCCCCAAACCGCCACATCACTTAAGGCCAATTTATAGCAGTTCCTTTTATTTGGTCCATCATGTCCAGCTATCAGGACAAATTATAAGGCATGATTAAAAAAAGGGGCAGCTTCTCTCAGAACACACACACACACACACACACACACACACACAATTTGAGAGACAAGAGTAAGCATCAGAACCAGACATGGCTGGATTGTTGGCATTATCAAACTAGGAGATTTTAAACAACTGTGATTAATATGCTAGGGGGTATAATGGATAAAGTAGACAGCATGCAAAAACAGATGCACAATAAACAGACAGAAATCCTTAAAAAAGAATCTAAAAGAAATGCTGGCGATCAAAAACACTGTAAAAGAAACGAACATTGGACCCGATGGGCTTATTAGTAAACTGCCTATAGAAAGATTCTCTAAATTTGAGAAACCTCCAAAACCGAAAGGTAAAGAAAACAAAAGACACGATCAAAACACAAACAGAGCATGGTGTCCAAGGACTGTGGGACGACGCCAAAAGGTAAACCATACACAAAATGTAATACCACAAGAAGAAAGCATGGATGGAAATGAGTGTTTTCTCTCGCAGGGGAAGGGGTAATCAAGGATTAGTCCTTGTTTCGGACTTGGAGATCTGAGAGGATAGAGGTGCCATTAAATCAGAATTTCAATCTAGATCTATTTTATATTTGTTTCTCTTTCACCCTGTCTCAACTATGATTTGGTATTCGTCAAGTCATTCTGTAACCAAAGATGTGTCTCAAAAATGCCCTGACATCGTGGGTAAGTTATGTTTGTGTGAACACATTCATCCTTGTAGGGGGCAGGACAGACCACAGAGCAGGTTTTCTATGATCCAGCAGACTGGTAAAGGAGGAGTCAGAGTCCTCAGTGGTTTTTGCAGGTCTTTCATTGGGATTACCCGGTACACAGCAGGCAGGGGTACTGCGGGGCCGGGAGGCTGGCAGGCCTCCCAGCCTCCAGCAAGTCTTCACTCTATCTGGGCTCTCCGGCATTTTCTGCTTCTCTCTCGGCTTCTGCTGCTGCTTTCTCGGCTTCTCTTTCGGCTTCTGCTGGCGTCCTCGTGACGCCGCCCTTAAAAGCCCAGTGTCAGCCCAGGTGAATCCCATCTACCTATGCCGACACCCAATTCCAGGTGCCCGCCATTAGGCATGCATTCAGGACTGCAGGGTTCCGTCATTTATCCTGATGGAGTGAAGGCAGAAAAGCCTGACATTTTTCCTTATGCTACAATCCTTCAGGATAGAAGCATGGGTTCCATGTCATTCTCAAAGTTTAAAAGCTTGGAGTTAAGACTTTTGGCACAACAATCTGAGAGCTGGTGTTCATTCAATTTTGTTTGAGAGATCAAATGCTCAGTCAAGAGCATATTTTAAAAGCATAGTGAGTGGTTCTGCTTTAGTTAGTGCAGTTAAAAATTCTTAAAGATCGTCCATGAAACATTAAGCTGTTGTATAAATCATAACAGAATTATTTCCAAATGTTTTGTCGAACTCAGGAGAATATGAGACATGTCCCTGGAGTCAATCACACAGACTATTGAAAAGAGACAGGAGAATAAATAAAGCTTGGGTGGTTCTGGAGACAAGCATTGACTGCAGGACCTAGAGCTTTAGAGTAGGCAGGACGGGAGACTTGGCCCGCCCATGCTGAGGGGAGTGGGACACTGAACGTGAAATCCTGCATTCCTCCAGGGGCCAAACCCTTAGTAAAGGCTGCGCTAGGGAAACCCTGTGTGCTAAGAAAGCTTTAAGGAAACCTCTGTGCCATTGCCGTATTCAAGTAGAAAAATGGTGATTAATACCGATTAATATTGGTATTAAAAATGATAACAATAATAGCTTTCCTGGGTAATTTGAGGCCTTAATTGTTTTTTATGTATCTGAGATTTGACTATGCACTGAACAGTCAGGAAAGAAAATACCTAACATAGGAAATTATATTAAAGCTAAACCAGTTTGATAACATCTAATTGGAACTGACACAGATCTTACCTGGATAAGGACATTCTCAAGCCAGGACCTCCAGGAATCACAGTGATTAACATTAGTCATATGTTGAGATTATCATAAACAAGACCATGAACAAAATCAGTTGGCAGAAATTCAGGCCCTCAAAGACTCAGAAACACAAAACCTACCAATAAAATGCTTATATTATGAAACAATGTTATTCATGATGAAATTAAGCAAAGCGAACAAAGACAAAAAAACTAGCAAGTTAAAGCCACTTGATAATTTTATAACCACCTGATGAGCAAAAATTAGAGATTAGTAATACCAAGTGTGGTCTGTGGAACAGCTGAAGTTTTTTTCATCAATGGGGGAAGGAGGGAAAAATTGGTTCTATCACTGTTACCAATTTTGTAAAATTGAAGTATAGAAACTATGAATTAAAGGTAACACTTTTCAATAAATATCCTGCAAATAGACTTGAAAATGCACAAGTGAAGTCTGCAAGAAGCAATGCTGATAATAGCAAAATAAACAAAAATGTAAAAAACAATGTACATGAACATGAGAAAAATTTAATTGTGGTGTACTATATAATAAACATGAGAAAAATTATGATGTTCTGTATATAAATCACATACTATATAGCAGTGACAGTGAGCTATAATTGCATACATTGTGTATAAACCTCACATAAAATGAACCTCAAAAACAATGGTATGTAACAACAGAAGAATTCATACATTGTGATGATATTTTTTTAAGTGCTTAAAAAACTGAACAGTATATTTTAGGCTTATACACACACATAGAAAAATAAAAATAACTATAAAATATAAATGATATGTTTAGAAAGATAAATAAAATATTTATATACTTGGTATTTTTATAATATAAAAAATAAACAAGGGAATTATAATAAAAAATTAAAATATGAGGGAGGGTGAGGGATTCTAAATACAGTGAATTTCAAAGTTACCAACCACATTCTATTTCTTAAGCAGAGTGGAGGATGTGTTCTCTTTATTTTATATATGCTGTTTCTTTATGGATAAAATATAACTTAAAAACATACAATATCTGCATTTCTACCTGATTTATTTCTATTTTTGAAATCACTTATTGATTAATGAAAACAATATATAAAAGAAGACACAGCGTAAAGAAGACACATTATACCTTTAACTATTCTACCTTTAACTATTCTACCTTTTAAAGTTCTCTTTTTTTTTTTTATAATGTCTTGTCTCAGAGAGAGAATATTTTTTCAAAAAAAAGTTCTCTCTTCTGAAAACAAGTATACAAAACCCTAATTAATTACTAATGCTCATTATTGTCTTCAAAAAACCAAGATGACTTAATAGGCTATGCCATATTTGTTTTTTTACCAGAGATTCTCATTCAAGATAAATTAAAATATATAACCAGTGATTTTAGTTCTTTTTCTTTTCTGTTCCAGTTCATGCTGTAAGTAGAATTAAGCAGAATGATGGTAGTATGATGGCACTTAAGAGATACTTCTAGTTTTTTGAAAGAAGAGTTTGTAGCTCCGTGTAGAATTTTGAACTAGTGGGAAGACTCAAGTTCATTTATGTGGAATCATGTCAGACTCACATATTGGTGAATATATAAAAACACTTCTTTATATCACTTCATATAAAATTTGTGTAAGGTTTTAAACCTTCTTTAACAGGTATATAGAACAGCCTTGTTTTATAATAGTCTCATTTTTTTTTCCAGTGGAGTGAACACTAGAATTTCATTTTGCTTATGCACATTTCCTTTTTAATTGTTGAAATAAGAAAAAATATCTATAGTAATGTTGACAAAATAAGGTAACGTGAATAAAATGAGTTGTGATACCTGATAGTACTCACATTGTACATAAATACTGTGAAATTTAGTGAAACATTTTAAATACCCTTTAATATAAACATAATTTAAATGAAACCCTTATATAACAGAGATTCATTACTTGACAACTCTGATGTCTTCTGTTTCTTGCCTTATAATGACTGCTATCAGTTTGAGACTTAAAATATGCTGCTCTTGAAAATGCTGGAAATGTTACTAACAACATATGCTTGAGGAGAATTTGCTTTATTACATATTGCTTCAGTTTCCATATGAAAGTTACAATTTTTAATGCAGTAAAATTCTTCTATCTCCTTAAGGATACAGATAATCTCATTTAAGTTTAGAATAACAAATTTGATACCGTATGAGCTCCCCTAAGCATTCTCAATATATTAAAAAGTGTGCTTTGATTTCTTTCCCTCTGTGTTACTCTAGGATAGCTTCCCAGCACGATTTGGAGGAATTCATTTTGTCAATCAACCATGGTATATCCATGCCCTATATACTGTTATTCGACCTTTCCTAAAGGAGAAGACTAGGAAAAGGGTAAGTTTCTTTTTCTCTGTTTTATGTCCTTTCTTTTTCTCCATTCACTAAATTATGATACATAATATGTGTATAATATTGGTGATGGTAAAATGTGCTTATATGTTGCACATAAATATGAAAATAATTCTTAATTTATAAAGACACTGTGATTAACTCTGAGCAGTGCATTTGTGAAAGAAGTATTTAAAAGCCAATTCTTTGCTGCCTACAGATGGGGAGAACATTATAGTATATTCTATGTGTATTAAAGTCTCAATTAAAAAAGTTTTTGTATATTATTTTGGTAAACTTTTACTTCAGCTGAGAATTGGAAAAAGACCTTGACTTGACAAAAGTTATAATTTAAAATTGCATTTGTGATATCTGATATAATTTTGTAGTAATTGATACAATCAATCCTACATTTCAGAAAGAATGCTGTGTGGAAAATGTAGTATTTCTTTATGTTGCAAATCACTTTGTAAGATTCAGCTTTATGTGACAATGAGGATATTCAGAATGCTACAAAATAGGAATTTTTCTGAGAATAAGATAATTTATAAGAAGTATTTATCACAGTGCAAGCATGGCAAATACTGAACACATTTATAATTATTATCAATAATATACATTAAAATACATTTAATGCACATAATTTTATTTTATACTCCCAGTGCTCTGAAAAATAGACTTAGTATTTCAAAGCTGAGGAAATTAAGTCCTAGGATAAAAAAGTAACTTGCTTACTCATTTACACAGCTGTAATGCTGTAGAGCTAATATATGAATCCAAATATTCTAACTCCATATTTAGAGCTATTTTTACCACTTTGCTGTGACCGATTTTCAAATGATTAGTTTCACATTAAAATATACTTACTTCTATATTTATATAGAAGATGATTGTCAATGTTTCTCGACAAATGAAAAGGCATGTCAGGTATTTCAGTGCCATAGAAGCCTGGTTGTGTGAAAGTCATTGTTAAGTGTGTGTTTGTATGAGCCATTAGTGAAGAGAGGGTTTTCTATATATGAATTTGTTGCAAATGTTCCAGTAGTTTAGGAAGAAGAATTAAGTTAAAAAGTATAATTTCTATATTAGGAGTTTTTTCTACTACCCAGAATCAAATTAATTTACATTTAAGCTTACAGAAAAGTGTCTTAAAGGGCCTGTGTTATTGTCATATATAAAAAGAAATACCCATTCGTTCTTTATCCCTGTAAAATCCTTGAAAGTTGCTAAGTCATGAGAGCAACATCATGTTATGTCAATCAGGTGAACTTTGCAAATCATGTAAGGATGGGACTGGTTGCCAGTGGAACCAACAGTATGGTGGCAAGGTTGAAATTCCTACTCCCATCCCATCTACAGGGAGGAGAGAGGGTTGGAGATTGAGTTCAGTCTCTGCTGCTAATTATCTAATCAATCATTTCTATATAATAAAACCTACATAAAACCCCAGAAGAGATGGTTAGGAGAGCTTCTGGGTTTGTGAACATGGGAAATTAGGGAGAATGCCTCACCTCAAAAAGTCATGGAAGTTCCATGCTGCCCTTTTCCTACACCTTGCCCTTTGCATCTTTTCTATCGGGCTATCGCTGAATTATATCTTGTTCAAATGCTGTAAATCAGTTGTCTGAACACTGGTAAAAGTTAAGGAGTAGCTATGAATCTCCTTTGCAAACAAGAAATACCTGGTAATTCATTTTCTTAAATTAAATCTCATTTTGAGTCTTTAGTGGCAACTGGAATGTCAACTTTAGTTGTTTTGGGAAGCCCTTCTTATAATTTCCCCACTATCTGCAACCTTTCTTGTAGAACCAAACTTCCACTTCTCCATGGCCCCTCTTGACATCCTTATTTTCCAGCTTGAAAATAGGGATGACCTGATTTTGTGAATCCGGTTTTGGTCTTGTTAAATTTGAAGTGTCCATTGACCAATTGGTGGGGGTGTGAAGTAGAAAGTAGAAATACCAGTAGGGAGTTCAAAGGTGAGATCAGAATTCAAGGCATACATTTTCTGTGAATGGGCAATATTTGAAGACACAAAACTGTACAAGATCACCAAGGACTGGGTATAGAGAAGAAAGTAAATGTCAGTACTGAAGCATGTAGCACTCTGACATCGAGACGTTGGAGAGATGAGGAATAGTCAGAAAAATAGATTTTTTTAAAAATCTATCAATATAGAAAAAACTAAAGAGATCCTGGGAGAAAATATTTCAATGAGGAGAGTCATATACTATATCCAATGTGTTTAGAGTTCAAGAAAAATAAAGATGATAAATTGGACATGCACTCAGTGGTGAAAAGAATCTTGCTAAGAGCTAATTCCATGCTATGGTGCAAGGCAAAACCTATTTGGATTGGATTATGGAAAAATAGGATGAGTGTATTTGGACATAGAATATAAATAATTTGTTTGATGAGTTTCACAGTAAAGGAAGGAGAGCAATAAGATATTAATTGGAGGTAGCAGTGGGACCAAGAGGTTTTATGTTTCTGTATAGAGGTGGGGAAAGAGTAAAGTTGACATGATTGTTCTCTGAAGGGAAAGACCCAGCACACAGAGAGGAAATTTGATGTGAGAGGTAAGAAAGAATTGCTTGGATAATATAACTGAGTAGGAATGAGAAGAGAAAGACTAGTGCATTGCAAGAGAGGTTAGCCTTTGTAGAACTAATCTTTCCATTGTACTAGCAATAGAAAAGCAGATGGACACAGATGCTGGTGGGTGGATCTCATCTGGTTACCTTATTTTTTCAGTAAAATAGGAAGCAAGCCCAAACCTGAGAGTGATGTTGAGGGAGGAGGTAACAAAATGTTAGTGAAGAGAAGTAGTATGTTAAAATTACATTTACTTCTTTAAGGATTTATTACTATAACTCTTTCATAACAAAAGAAGTTTTTTATATGAAAAAAGTACCCAATATGTGAAGATTGTTTGTAAAATAAAGGTCACAGGAGCTAGAGCTTAAACTTTCCCATGAAAAATCTTAGAGCATATGTGTGTGTGTGTTTGTGTATGTGTGTATGTGTACACACATGTGCATGTACACTTGCCTTCCTGGGCTATTGTACTCTGCAAATAGGAGAGGGAAATTGCAAATCCCAGTGTATATGAGGGAAGGTGACATCCATCTCTTCTCTAGACTCTGTGTCTTACGTTCTAGGAAGCCTGTGCTTTACCTGTTTTGGCCAGTGACCTCATCTTCTCTGCTTTTACTCTTCCTTAATTTGTTGAAATTATTTGTTCATTGGTGATTCCCATTTCTCTCATTTTGCTTGATGTTGTATACTTTCTTTATTTTCCCATATTCACCTCAGTATTTTCTGAAAATACACAAAGCAAAGATGAGTGTGATAACCTGTTCATTCTTGACCTAATTATGAAATTATTTTAGGTCACTTATAAACTGTAATCCCTAAATAAATATTAGGTAAGTTTATATGAGATAACTAAGCTTCATCAGAAAAGTGTGACCTTGAGTTTTGAGATTGAAATGAAAGAAGAAAGAGATGGTAATTTATGGAAAAACAAATCAAATATATACCATTAATAATTCCTTTATTTAATTTTTTTAATTTTGAAAAATATTTATTTTTATGTAAGAACTGGGGTACAGGTCAGAGGCATGGGAGGGTGAAAGGATTCACCAGAGACAGAGTGGGGAGCAGAACAGGCAGACGGACTGAAAGCACTGCTAAGGGGAGCAGTGGACGAGACAGGAGAGGTCTACTGCGCCATGTGGCAATCTCCCTGGCTAGCCGGAATTGAATCCACGCTGCAGAGGCTGCAGACAGCATCACAGTGCTGCACTCAACCCACTGTGCCACTGGGGAGGCCCAATAATTCCCTAGTTTTTAAAAAAACTATATAGATAATATTAATATTTATATATATACAACTTTTTATTTTCAACGCATTATTCCATTTTATATTGAATGATAATCATAGGCAACCATGTAAATTTCTAGTACAGAAAGAAGATGCTGGCAACATTATAAAACATAAGTTATTTAGGACATGATCCTTCATCTAACCTGTCATTATGATGATGCTAATCTACTTTTATTGTTATCACACACTCTGCATTGTGAAATAGGAACTTAGTGATATGGTATTCTTATTTTTGTTGATGATAAAGAAAAGCTATATTGGTGACATATTTTGGCCTTAATAACTTGGATGGTTCTGTAGATGATGAATCCCTTATGAGAAGGATCTGCTTTGACAGCATTCACCATACACATCATCAGCTTAAAAACTAACACCAGGATTATGTTTACATCATCATTCACATCATGACCCCAATTATAAAATAGGAAACCAATAATTCTCTCCAGCCTAGTAGCTTTGCAACCTTCTAGAAAATACTCAAAATCCTTGAGCCTCAAGATTTCATACAAAATACTAGGATAGACATACTTACCTGTTTCACAGAGTGGATGAAGGACTTAAATGTTTTAACAGACCTGAAAATCTCTTGCTTTTGCTCTTCCTATTCTCTTCCCTCCCCTAAGGATGGTATTTATACTTTTCCCAGTGTTTTCTCTGCCTGTTTTCTTGCATCTGTAGATATTTTTGCATGGAAATAATCTGAACAGCCTACACCAACTAATTCATCCTGAGATCCTGCCCTCTGAATTTGGGGGAATGCTACCCCCTTATGACATGGGAACATGGGCCAGAACACTGCTAGACCACGAATATGATGATGACAGTGAATACAACGTGGACTCCTACAGCATGCCTGTGAAGGAAGTAGAAAAGGAACTGTCCCCCAAGTCCATGAAGAGGTATGTTGGAGCTGCTTGGGAAGTGGATTGAAGTCAGAATGGGGGCACCCTAAGACTTCACACATATTTTTTCTGAAATAGATATTTGGAGGAATTTTTTTTTCTTCAATAATAAATTTTATTTTTATATTCCCCATACAATTGCAACCCCCCCTTTCTGATCCCAATCCCTCCCCTCCCGCCCCCCACCCCCAAAAGTGTCTCTGTTTCATAGTTTTTTGTTGATTCTGATTTTCACTTTCTTATAGTTATTCATTTTCCTGGTCCCTTATTTAAGTTTTCTAGATTCCTGCTATGAGTGAGACCATCCGGTATTTTTCTTTTTCTTTTTGGCTTATTTCGCTGAGCGTGATCCCTTCCAGCGCCATCCATGTTGCTGCAAATTGCATGTGCTTATCTTTTTTGAATGCTGAGTAATATTCATTGGTGTATATTTACCACATCTTCTTGATCCAGTCATCTATTTTTGGGCATTTGGTTTGTTTCCAAAGCTTAGCTATTGTAAACAGTGCTGCTATAAACATAGGGGTGCAGGTGTTCTTTGGAATTGATGTTTCTGTGTCCTTTGGGTAGATACCTAGGAGTGGAATGGCTGGATCATATGGAAGCTCTATGTTTAGTAGGTCCAGAAATCTCCACACAGCTCTCCATAGTGGTTGGACCAGTTTGCACTCCTACCAACAGTGCAGAAGAGTTCCTTTTTTCCACACCCTCGCCAACATTTGTTGTTGCTAGTTTTTTTAATATGTGCCATTCTCACTGGTGTAAGATGGTATCTCATGGTAGTTTTGATTTGCATTTCCCTGATGACAAGTGATGTTGAACATTTTTTCATATGCCTGTTGGCCATTTGCATTTCCTCTTCAGAGAAGTTTCTTTTTAGCTCTTCTGCCCATTTTTTTAATGGATTATTTTCTTTGTTGTTGTTGAGTCTCATCAGCTCTTTGCAGATTTTTGTGATCAGTGCTTTATCATTAGTGTTGTGTGCAAAAATGTTCTCCCAGTTGGTGGGGTTTCTCTTTGTTTTTGTTATTGTCTCTTTCGCTGTGCAGAAGCTCTTTAATTTGATGTAGTCCCAGCTGTTTATCTTTGCCTTCACTATCACTGCTTTGGGTGATGTGTCTGTAAAGATGTCTTTGATGTGCAAATCACATAGTGTTTCGCCTATATTTCCTTCTATATATTTTATGGTTTCAGGTCTTATGTCTAGTTCTTTAATCCATTTTGAGTTGATTTTCGTGTATGGTGTGAGGTAGTGGTCAAGCTTCATTCTTTTGCATGTAGTGACCCAGTTTTCCCAGCACCATTTATTGAACAAACTTTCTTTGCTCCAATGCATAGTCTTTGCTCCTTTGTCAAAGATTAGTTGACCATAAATCTGTGGGTTTATTTCTGGATTTTCTATTTGATTCCATTGGTCTGTATGTCTGTTCTTGTTCCAATACCATGCAGTTTTGATGATTATGGCTTTGTAGTAGAGTTTGAAGTCTGTGAGTGTGATGCCTCCATTCCCTTCTTTTTTTTTCAGGAGAGCTTTGGCTATTCGGGGTTTTTTGTGATTCCATATGAATTTCATCAATAATTGTTCTATTTCTTTGAAGAATGACATTGAAATTTTGATTGGAATAGCATTGAATCTGTATATTGCTTTTGGTAGGATGGCCATTTTAATAATGTTTATTCTTCCAATCCATGAGCACGGGATGTCTTTCCATTTCTTTGTGTCCTCTTCTATCTCTTTTAACAGTGTTTTATAGTTTTCTTTGTATAGGTCCTTTACCTCTTTTGTTAGATTTATTCCCAAATATTTGATTTTTTTTTTTGTTTCAATAATAAAAGGGATTTTTTTTTTATTTCTTCTTCTTCAGATTTATTGTTTGTGTATAGGAAGGCTACTGACTTTTGCGTGTTGATTTTGTATCCTGCCACTTTACTGAACTGATTGATTAGTTGAATTAGTTTTTCTGTGGAGTTTTTGGGGTTCTCTATGTATATTATCATATCATCTGCAAATAGTGATAGTTTGACTTCTTCTTTTCCTATTTGGATTTCTTGGATGTCTTTCTCTTGTCTTATTGCTCTGGCTAGGACTTCCAGTATTATATTGAAAAGCAGTGGTGAGAGTGGACATCCTTGTCTTGTTCCAGATCTTAATGGAATTGCTTTCAGCTTTTCACCATTGAGAATGATACTGGCTGCTGGCTTGTCATAGATGGCCTTTATGATGTTGAGGTATGTTCCTTGTATCCCAAGAATTTCAAGGGCTTTTATCATGAATGGGTGTTGCACTTTGTCGAAAGCTTTCTCAGCATCTATTGATATTATCATATGGTTTTTATATTTCTTTTTGTTGATGTGTTGGATAACGTTGATTGATTTTCGGATGTTAAACCATCCTTGTGTCCCTGGAATGAATCCTACTTGGTCATGGTGAATTATCTTATGGATACATTGTTGGATTCTGATAGCTAAAATTTTATTGAGGATTTTTGCATCAGTGTTCATTAGGGAGATTGGCCTGTAGTTTTCCTTTTTTGTGTTGTCCTTGTTCGGTTTTGGTATTAGTGTAATGTTGGCTTCATAGAACGTGTTTGGTATTGTCCCTTCCTTCTCAATTTTTTGGAAGAGTTTGTGAAGGATAGGCACTAATTCGTCTCTGAATGTTTGGTAGAATTCATTTGTAAATCCATCAGGTCCTGGGCTTTTGTTTTTGGGGAGGTTTTTGATTACCATTTCAATTTCGCTAATTGTAATTGGTCTGTTTAGGTGTTCTATTTCTTCTTGATATTTGGAGGAATTTTAAAGCTTTACTTGTCCCCTGATTTCAATGTCTAGGAATTGTGAATCAAAGAGAATCATTTTAAGAAACCCCAACTCAGATTTTATTTCTACTTCACAAATAGACTAACAGGACCCCTAGAAGCCACCAAATCCAGTGATTTTGTAAACTGTATATTAAAGGCTCTGGTAGCATGTCTGAACTCAAGAAGGTAGGGTGAGAACAGCACCATGTCCATTGTGACAAAAACAACTCTATCCAAACAGCAATTTATTGGATTTTTATATAAGTTTTCTTTCAAAGAAAGATCCATGGCAAGTATATACACGAACACATGTTCATATTCTTCAAACACTATATTAAAAGCTTCAGTTCACTTTTGAGTATCTCTGCCAAATTTCAGTTTAAACGTCTTGCCAGTCCAAAGACAAGACGTTCTTATTTCCCTATAGCTTTGATTTTTAAAATCCTCATTGTACAGTTAGAAACTGATTCCCTGCTTTGACTCTCATGGTATTTTATGACTGTTTTCTTTCAATCAATGTATATCTATTGAATGCATGCTCTGTAATAGACACTTTTCTAGGTGTTTCAGATTCAATGTGGATAAACATGCTTTTAACCCTAGTCTGGTGGTGATGGAGGGCAGTGGGAGTTGCTAGACATGCACAGTTGGATAAATGGTTGAGTCTGAATTCTGTAGCAAATCAAAAAATACTCTCCAGCCCAGTGCTCATTTGGAGAAACAGATGAGCCACAGCTCCTGCAAGTGTTTCCTAATCTATGACTAGCACAAGGAAGACTCAAAGCATCTTAGATGAAATCCCAAACACTCTCTTGCATCCTTCTCTGAAAGGACTTTATTGTCTTCTGTCATTGATCTGACTCCTATAGTGACACTTCTGTGCTTTGAGCCTGGCCTCTTTATTCTGCTGTTGCTGTTGCTATTTTTCTTTGTGTGTGTGATGTCTTCCTCTGCCCTAGCTGCTCCTTGTCTTAGAACAGGGCATCTTACCTTGAGTTCTAGGCATTCCTAATCAAAGGGGCTCATGGATGGATTTTTAAAGCATCCTGCTAGTGCTAGAAGCTGCTTCTAAAATTGGGTGTATGAATGTATATACATTTTTTAATTTTCTAAGACAAAAATGGTTAAAAGTTATTTGCCTAAGAAGAATAACTCCCATTTAGCAAAAATCATAATCCTGATTGCAATAGTTGTTACCATCTATCCTTTACTACGTCCTATCATGAGTTAAACCTTACTGCCTATTTCAATGCTGAATTCCCAAAGTCACATAATCTATGTGTTGTGAAATAGGGTACCAGTCTGTGAGGTAAAGAGTCTTTGATGCATTTGACATAAACCTTATCTGTGACAGCAGAACACAGATTGCCCTCACTCTGGTGCTGAGCTATATAAGGATTGGAGACGGCTGTCATAGATGCTCGCTAGTCTTCTCTTTTGCCAGTTAAAAGAGCTTCAGTCACTGAAGCTGTCACATGTCCTTCAGCGACTCCTAGACATGCTCATTAGTGTGTTAGTGTGGTCCTCTCCTCTGAGCACATTTGTCTGCATGCCTTTTACAACCTTAGCCACACCCAGCACCTGCACTCCCCAACATCCTAACTGCTGTCTTTGACTCTAGTCTTATCCCACTCTTGTACCCCCCTTATTATCTACATGGCAATACAAAATATCTCTTCAAAAAGATAAATCAGATTATTTCACTTCTCTGCCTTACCTTGGTTTAATTCTGTTGATTAAACAAAGAGTAAAATCAATTTTGTATCATGACTGATACTATAGAAGCCGAGCCTGCCTACCTCTTTCCCTTAAATGTATTTAACTTTATTTCCTCCTTAAATTTTAGACACATCACTCTTAATTCTCCTTCAGCCTCTTCAGCTTGTTTCTATCTAAGAAACTTTATGCATGTCACTGCTTCCTGAAATGTTCTTTTCCTGCACCTTCAAATGACCCCAATCAAAAGTCACCACCACAAGAGGCTTTTCAGGTTTTTCTCAATCACCAGGTCTAAATCAGCCTTACATCCTCCTCATTCTAGTCAGGCCTCATCAATCACTTCCTTTACTTTCTTTGTAGCACTTCTCTGTCTGTCAAATGTCTGATTTTATTTAATTTTATATCTCTCTTCCCTAATGCAAGCTTCGGGGGACTTGAGTGGTTTTGTCTTCCCTGCTCACCTCCGAATCCCCTCTGCCTGGAGTAGGGTCTGGTACACAGAGGGTATCAGTTGGATGAGTGAAGGAGTGTCCCGGGAGTGTCCATTTTTGAACAGGTGATATCTGAGACCTTCATTTAGCTTCCAGAAATTTGTCCACAAGAAACCTTGCTGGCTCCCTTTGGTTGCTATTGCCATGATCACTATTACTGTCGTTTGGCAGACAAGGCACATTGTGGAATAACTGAACTCCCTAAAACTAGCAAGTCTCTTTATTTATAGATCCATCTACCCTCGTAATGCTCTACTACTGAGTTTAGATTTTTCCTGCAAGCACAATATTTTAATCAGCACCATCTTGTTAGATTTGGCCTAGTCTATCCACCTTTTGAAGTCTTTTTGGATCCTGAGTTTCTTCTCCAATTAATTAGGCCATTTTGTTTCCTGCAGAGCTGACTCGCAGCAAATTGACCTGTCAACCCCAAGTTTGTTGCTTCAGACATGAACTGATTATAATTTCAGACATCTCCTCTTTGGTGTGCGTTTGTATCATATGAACCTTTTGTGGTTCTATTTGAAAACCTCTGAAGAATGAGACTAAGAAATCTGTTTCACTTGACTCATCTCTGTGCCAGGGAATGGCAGTTTCGCATCAGGGATAGTAGAAAATTTTTCCTCACTTGCAGCTTGACCCCCTTCTCTATTTTGTTTCCTTTTTTAGTTTAATATCAATCATATATTGATAGGGAAAAAATTGTTCATCAAAGAGCTCTGGATAATTCTTTGGTTGAATTTAACTCAATGTTCAGGATGAAGACTGTCTCCCTGTATAAATTTGTGGAAGGATAACAGAGTCATGTACAGAGATCCAAAGTTCACTAGTTTGTATCTTCCACCTTCTACCCTCCCCCCCAAATTCAGGGTAGTGTCTGACACCTAATAGTTGTAGTGAGTAACAATATTAAATTTATTATGGTAATGCGAGTTTCTGATTTTATTAAATAATATTAAACATCTGTTGTTGCTACGTGACAAACCCTATCTAATGCTTTGTATATAATGACTCCTTTGCTTCTCTAAACAACTAATAAGGTAGTACTATCTCCATCTTACTGATGAGGAGACCAGATACAGAGAAGGTAAGACCCTTTCACATGTCACACAGCTACGAAGTAGCAATGCTAATATGGGAGCATAGACAACAGTATTCCATAAGTCATCTCCTTACTGTCACCATTTACTATCTGCCAGATTTTGTGCTGGAATTTATTGTATTCGATCCTCACACATCTGTGTGATGTAGGTGTTATTTTCCTCATTTTACAGACAAGGAACAAATCGTAAGAAGTTTAAATAGCCTTCTCACGATCACAGTACTTATAAATAGCAAAACTAGAATTGAAATATATATATTTTTGTCCAAAATCTAGATTCTTAAAAGAACACTATGGTGTAGCTTAATATTGTGGATATTTAATAAATTAATTAATACTTGATAACTAAATTGAAATTATTTGTTTTCATGAACTATAAAACCTACGCATTATAAAGACAGTGTGGAGACTGCTGAGATGTAGTTTGAGTTAATTCCCCCAATGGCAGCTGAAACAGACTGATTCATGTACAGCTATGATCCTGCACAAATAACTCAATTACTTTGTGTAAGGGGGAAAAATCTTTACCTAAATAGCAGTACTCTTGAAGGAAGTAAATACCAAAAGAAAAAGAAAATCTTAACCAGAACTTGTTTCTGCTTGGTTTGTTTGATTAAATAATTGTGCTACATATTGAGCCAGCATTCATCATCCAACAATTCTGATATCTATAGTACATGATAAAAGCCAGCTAGAAACTTAATTTCAGATTGAATAGTACCCTGAAATTTAACATATCTCATTAAAGTTGCCATATCTTTTGCTATATCTTTTAATAATTTTTAGAATTAAATAACATGAGATTTTAAAAGATTTTTGTGTGATTATTTTAATAAAATATTGTGATATATTTATATTGTGTACCTTGTGATGTCTGAAGAGTTTTGCTTTGTACTTAGTAAATACTATTAGGATATACCTCAACATTTATGTAATAGATTTATGGATATTTTTTCATACATTCTCTGTGAAGGATTGTTTTCTCCATTATCTTCATTTTAAATGTTTAATACCAAACGTCTTTCAATATTGGAAGTATAATAGGATAGAAGCTAAGACATTGAGATCCTACTGTGTTCTGTGATACATATCGTGTGATACATATCGTGATACATATGCAAAGAGACAAACTGACAAAGTCCCTGCTTAAGGAATTTATATTCCAGTTGTCAAGTTCACACTTTAGTGTAAGACTTTAGATGAATCTGTCTGTCTTAGCAAGAATTCATTTTGAAAAACTAATTTTCTTAGTTGAGTCTTACCTAAAACCAATGATAATGTTTTAATTACTAAGTAATTTGTGCAATTTTCAACTTTGTTAAATGTGTTTTCTTCATGTACTTTTTCCTAAGATAATTATTTACTATTGCATTTAAAGTAATGTAAAATCTTTCTTCTCTTTCTCTGTCCCCTTTCTTTCCCTCCCCTCCCTCGTTTTCTCTTCTGTCTCTTCCTTATCCTCTTTCTCCTTTTCTTTATTCTCTCTCTCTCTCTCTCTCTCTCTCTCACACACACACACACACTCACACTCAACTTAGTCTCCTTCCAGATGTAGGTGTCTAATACCTATTGTGATAAAATCGTGAAAATGACATAGGAATTGAAACCTTCCTATTCTAATGCCCCTTTTTATTACCTTTTCAGAAAAAAATTACATTTATTTCAATAAAGGAGTCAATCTATCAGTTAATCCTGTAATTATTTTTGCTTGGTAATTAGTTGCTGTTCTTTTTCATTGCATATGCAGTTGTATTTTAGCTTATAGTCTCTTTTTGAAAGTTAATGAGGTCTGCTAAGAGGCATATTGCCACAGCATTAGCCAATTGGCTGGAATACAGCAGCAGGGGAAAAATTCATTACTGAGGAGAATTTTAAAAGGGCAGCTGCTTCTTTAATGCCATAGCTATTAAGATGGCAGCTTCCTTCTATAACAGTAGCATGTTTCATTGACTTTCTTTCTTCCCAGTTTTATGTTGTTTCCTAATGATGAATTGAGATATAATTCCCACCTGATATCAAAGGCATATGTAAGCAGTTTTCAAATTATTTGCTTTCCTAATCATAAACAGAACTAGGGTGCTGCTTAAAGAAGATGGATTTTTCCTTATTTAAAGTTATAAATCATTTTACAAAACTTTGAAGACTAAGATTGATTGTATTCATATGTTCTAGTGGGAAATATAACAAAACTCACATTCAAATGTTGACTTCTTCCTGTGATCATTAAAAATAAAAATAGTGGTTAAAATTCACATTCATATTGAATCTGTTTCCTAGAGTCCTTCGGGACAGTTATCAAGGCTCCTGTCATTTCTATTTCATTTCTTGTAACAATATTTCACTATATTATTTTACATTTGGAGGTGTTCTGTTGGAATACATAGGTCCTATACTAAAAATTCTCAATCTCAAAGAAAAGAATTTTGTTTGATGGTGAAGAGAACTTGAGCTTATTATCGCCTATTTAGAATCCTTTGCTGCTCATTATTCTATTTAAAGGCCAGAGGGGATTGTCTCCTCACTCTGATGCAAAACACCACATAAATGTTTTCTCTAATGTGCAGCATTTTCAGTTCATAAATTCCTTGATGAAGATAATCCACATCCATGAGAGAAGTAATAGTGGAGAAAAGATAGAGAATGTGATTATTTGGTCATAACTCACTGACATTGGCTTTATCATTTCCAGATCTCAATCAGTAGTGGATCCTACAGTACTAAAACGCATGGATAAAAATGAGGAAGAAAACATGCAACCTTTGCTCTCTCTGGACTGATCACTTCTCCCCATGGATTAGAAATGGAAGGTACTTGTGTTCAGCAACAGGGACAGCACTGTGGAGGAATTACCAGCTGGGTATTTACTTAATCATGTTAATGTAGCATAGTATATAATAAGGCATCAGGCTTTCCGATTAGCCTGAACCATGGGTGCCCTGCTCTGGGTTAACAAAAAAAGTCAATAATTTATTCTGTAAGTGCCAAGTTCTTTGTAAATACAGTGTAATCTTCATGTCAACTTTGTAAATTTTGGTAGTAACTTAAACTGCAAAAGATTGGCTCATAAGTTCACGCCAGTGTTATGAACTATAAGAAAACACAGAAAAGACACATGAAGAGTCCACGCTCATTAAATGCAGCCGTTTCCTATGAAGCCATATTTCAGCTATCATAGTGATTGTTTCCTTGTTTTCCTCTGAGACTCTGTCATGTTCAAATGTACTTTTAATGGGCACAGGGAACTAGATGATTCTAGGAAATTATCATGATAAATGTATTTTCTGTCTAGTGACTTTCATTTCACAGAAAATGTGTCCTAGCAACTATCAGACTATCACCGGCCTTGCATTTTTGAAACAAAGAATGACAGATAAGTTAGCAAACTGAACACTTGAACTCTTTCATGGTGTTTGAATCCTAGAGTTTTCTGTAAAGATGTGTTCCCTCTATTAAGATGTGTAATTCTGAAAGAGAGCAGATTCTTTTTAAACTGCTGTCTTCACAGTGGGAATTCAAGTCCCTATTATATCTCTATTAGAGGTACTTGAAGAGCATTAAAAACAAAAATAAACTCCTTGATCAAAAGAAAAAGAACTAACATGTGAATAGTATTTGACAGCTAAATTTGAGCATAAAATTTGCCATTTACAGATTAGGGGCTAATTTCTAATTCTTGTGTACTGGTTAAAAAAAAAATATATATATATATATATATCGCTTCTCGGCCTTTTGGCTAAGATCAAGTGTAAATATATATATATATATATATATATATATATGTTCACACACATATATTTTTACTGAACTCAACTAAATCCTTGATGTAACAGGCTTATAAAATAAATTATACATATTCATTGGTCTTAGAATATTACTTGAGCTACTAACTCTGGAAAACCATTTCCACTAAAGTTAATGAAAATGAGCTGCAGTGAAACAGAACTTCAGTGAACCTATTTAAGGGAATTCCATTTAAATTTGTAATATAATCTTGACCGTACTATTTTAGAGAAATGTATTTTTCCTTCAAAAAAGCAACAAGACTCAGCATAACATAGGTAGTATCAGGTGACCAAGAGTAATAGCAGTTTTTCTCAAATTCAAGTTAACTATTCTAATGATTCTGTATATTCACATTTTCTTTTCAGAAACAATTGAAAAAACATATTGACTCCAGGAGATATACTGAAAACAGCTGAGGCATCTGAGATAGCATATTATAATTTAATTCTAGATTTGGAATCTTTCTATTATTTAGAGGTTTTATTTCATAAAAATTCTATAGTTAGAACAAACTTTTAAAGTAGTACTTTAAATTTCAAATTCCAATGTGTAAAAGCAAGATTTTTATCACCTTTTTCAGAGTGATAAATTTTGAGATTGAGAATTTTAAATTAAAATACCCTTTTGAAAGATAAGTATCTTAAGGATCTCTTGGAAACCAACAGAAATAAAGGTGTGCAGCAACCTTTACACACATTTTAGCTAAAGTGTCAATTATTTCAGTCATAATTCTGTACCTAAAAACCTTAAAATCAAGACCACTATACCACTCTGGAGTATACCTCCATGCTGCCTGGTGTTAGTAAAAATGTGAATTAACTAATGTGAATTAAAGATCCCTTCAGAATGCCAACCTCCAGTCAATGATTGTCATGAAAATTTAAAGATTGAATGAATTAAGGACAAAAAGCTGTAGCAACTCTTATACTAGTTGCTTAACCATTAGTGTTTTTGATTTTTTGGTTTTGTTTTTTTGCCTGCCTGACATCCATTTGAGAGTCATGGGCTTCATAATATAATATGTAAGTGAGTGTTAGGCAAAATGCACTGGAAAATATAGAAACAGGCTAGTTATTGAAGAGCAGTCAAATGTTCTCAGTAATTTTTCTTGGTATGCTTAATTTATTGACAATTCTCAAAATTCTATCTGCAGATGTCAGCCAGAAGAGTCTATTTCTTTCCCACATCAAAGTTTGGTTTCATATATAAAAATAACTAGAAGGCATATTTTATATATACACACCTATCTAATTATAAGTGTCACTCACACTATCTTTGCATTGGCATTGCTGTTCTTCAAATAAACAATTATAAGTTGGCTGGATTGTGTAAAATATTGTTAAATGAATGAACAAATTACAACAATGATGGCTTTTCAAATCGCTCTCTCTAGTTCCATCTGTGAGTAAACTCATTTTCTAGTAGTGTTTTTGTAGCTGCTTAGTCAAGGAATATTTGATCTTTGTAAAATTTTTTTCTAATTAGCATCAGCTGACTAGCACCATTTAGGAATTCTTTTTCTTCTGATTTTTTTTTTTTTGTATCATGAAGCTATGTTTTTGTCACATAACTTACTAAATTAGTAATCCTTTGTTCTTTCAAACTAATTCTTTGTGATAGTACACCCCCCCCTCTTTCTCTCACACACACACATGCACACACACTAAAATATTTGCCGTGTTTACTACTCTAGTTTGAGATTCATGCTTTGCTTTTTCATTTCTCTTGTAACTTTAAATTTGTAGATATCAAAGGAATAACATTTGATTTGGAATAGGCCAGTGGTCCATTTATTTCTCTCATCCTTCCTGCTCTATCTACTATTTCTTATCTTTTCTTTCTTTCATTGTTTCAGGGGCAGCTGCTTCCAAAGCTGGTTTAAAAATAAATAACTTCTTATATGTTGTCAGTAATATTTGCACACATTTTTGACTGATATTTTAAAAGGAAGATATTATCATGAAAATATACTCAAAGAAATACGAAGAAGTGCCTCTTTAAAAATGGAATAAAAGAGTGAATATGGATTCTATTTGTACTCTTTCAAAAAGTAAATACATGCACCTATTTTATAAGGGTATAATGTAGATACCATTTGAAGAAGGATATTTGAGACTTTGCGCTGAGCATTTCCATACAGTAATAAGTCTTTATTGTATCAGTTCAATTCAATAACTTAAACACATGTTATTGATTACCTGGCACTATGCTAAAACTATATACACATATTAAATACAGTTTTGCAAGCAAGTTTTTGAAGTGGGTATGCATGATTTCTTTTATTTCAATAGTAGTTTGTGTAAGTATAGACAGAGGCATTGCTTCAGTTGTTTCACATAAAACGCTTGGTTACTTTGCAGTACCAAAAATTCATCCATTCATAAGCAGGAAAGCTAAGCAGCTAAGTTCTTTAATATTGTTAACTAGGTCATATTGTTAAATTAAACATTTGAAGTTTCTGCAGTGTCCCTGCAGGAACAGACATCATTCTAATGCATCAAGAAAATGGAGTTGTTTTGGACTTCCAGCAACATGTTTATTATGCTTCAAAAAAAGAAAACAAGAGTCCTAGCACTGCGTCTTCAGGAACAGATTTTTCTACTAGCAACCTAAAGGTTTATGGACTTACTTGTGGTCCTTTAAAGAAGTTACGTTAAAAATACCTGCTGAGAGGCCATACACACTTTTGTTGTTTATTTAAAGGTCTAATTGATCTAGTTGGTTAATAAGATCTCTTTGCTTCATATTGTGTATATATTTATAAATGATTACTTGAAAATTTGACATCAGTCATGAGAAATGATTTTCAACACACAAAATAAAATGAGCTGTACTCTGGGATAGTATTTGAGCTTTCAGATGTGGTATCTACTTTTTTTTTTATGTCAATGAGCTGATAGGTATATCTTCCATTTTATATGTGCTATTTAGGTACATAACCTAAAAAGACAGTGGTACAGTTTAAATATATGAGACCATTAGATCATGTTAGATGGGTTAGTGGGTTAGCTCCCTGGCTGGGGATCAAACTCATGTTGCAGTGGCTAGAGATAGCTTGATGGCACTGAGACTTAACTCCTTGCGCCATCAGGGAGGCCAAAACTGTGTTTTTTTTTTTCCCCCAAAGAAAGGAGTACAAATGATATTTAGAAATATAAAACTACTTAAAAACTAAGTAAGAATAAGACTTAAATATAATAAATGTATTTTCATAGTAAATAGTGGGAATGTTATAATTTAAGAGCTGTTTGGTGTTTGGTCAACATTTGCAATAGGTTAAAGTTTCAATACAAATATTTTTGTCCTTGATAACAATGCATTTATTCTGTCAAAATTATTTTTTGTAGTGAAAGATTTAAGATAAAAGCTGAAATAAATTTTACAGAACTTTTAAAATTAATTGAACCAATCTTCAACTATTTTGAAAAATGGAATGGATTATAATTGGTTTTATTTACAACAGAGATTTAAAACATTGTCTTGTATCTAATCCAGTTTTTTAATTTTCATATTTGTTTAAAATGGAAATAAAACTCAAGAAACTAGGTGCTTTTATTTTCAAAAGTGTACAGAGGGAAAAATAAGATGCTTAAAAGGAAATTGTAAGTGGCAGAGCATAACTTTTAGAGAGTGTACATTTCTGCTGAAAGAACATTTATTTTGCATATGGTCAATGTTAAACTTGGTAGTGCTGAATCTGTTGCATCTGTGAAGTGAACATTTCTGAAAAGCCATCTAAAATAGGACAACAATAATTTCATTTGAGAGAAATAATTAGCTATTTAGGTTGGAATACTAAAATTTTCTGATATATGTTTTATGTAGCTTAATGGGGAATAAACAGTCATTTTATTAAAGTGACATTTTCAGTATTCTATAATTTCTAGACAAAGTTTCAAAGGGTGGTGTGAATAAAGAAGTAAACTAATTTTTAAATTGCATATAGTAATGGAAATGATTGGTAAATAGAATAACTAATATTTTCATTTTTTACTGTAAAGTTATTCGATTAGACAAGTGACTAAATTCAGAATTTAATCACAAAAAGCATTGCTTTAAGTATATCCTATTAAAAATAGTCCCAGTTTAAAATATTATGTAAAATAAAAATATTCATTCTAACTTGAGAAATAATGCTTACTTAATAAAATATGTTTCCCTCTTTTACCCAAACTATGGAAAAAACATCATCTAATGGGGGTGTGGGGGGAAGGAGCAAGAGCCCCTGTACTCCTGAACATCACCTTCTAGTGGAGAAAACATACCAAAAAAACCTGGTGAGCAAAGTTTTATATACTGTTGGGTGATGGTGTCCACACAATAAAGACATATTTGTGTCATTTATGTGACCTCTGACACTCTGTTATCTTATCTGTGAAACAGGGTGATAATTGTACTAACAATATGAGTTATATTTTGATTGTATGCTCTTGATAATCTGGCACCTTCCTATTTATGAAAAAATGCAATACAATCTCCCTATATCCATGCTGTTTGGGATGTCTTATTAGGGTCCTCTGGTCTTCCTCCTTTCTGTTGAATGCTGTCAGTGGTTGCCAGGAGTTCTCCTGCAGACGCTCTTACCTGCCTTTTTGGGATATCCAGAGGTACCAGCTCCTGCTCAGTTTCTTTCAATAAGATAAATTTCACACTGCTTCGTTTCTAAAATATAAACAGAAATATAACTGAAAATAAACATTGATTTCCATCGGAAAAGAAGACAAAAAACAGCTACAGATAATTTCTGATATGTTACATGACTTAATCTTTCCATTTGATGCATTATTTTCCCTTTACCCACAGGCAGGACCACAAGCCATGGTTTTCATGGGCGGGGATGGATGTGTTCTATGTCCCACACTTGAGGGGAGCTCTTACCACTTTGGTTCCACAT